TTGGAGAGGAGTTGGAGCTGGACGATAGCCCCTTTCGCCTTCCAAGGACCTGTTTGAAGACGGTTTGACCAGTGAGATCTTGCGTGGGGGTTGTTGCGGCGACTTCTCCGGGCAACCAGCTTACCCGTGTCAAGCTTAGCGAGGTGCATCTCGAAGCGGAGAAGCGCTGGTTTGGGAGCAGTGCGATTTGTTATTCTCAAGTTGCTTCACCAGGGTGCCTTACCTGAGGATGATTTCTTGGGAGGGTGGGTCGTTCAGTACCTCCTTAGCCTTGCTGGTGCGATAAGTAGGGCGGGAGTGAGAATTGGAACGAACGAGAAATGGAAACCGGTCCCCGAATACAGGACACCACGTAGTGTTCCTCGGGGTCATGAGCATTCATTCCCGATCGCTCGCACCTCGCAACCCACAGACGTGATCACTCGCCAGGGGCAGCCCGGACGCCTGGGAGCCGGGGAGCGGGATCGTTGGTTAGCTCAGCCAGGCGCTGGGAAGCTTTTGGCTTGGTGCGCGGACCCCCAAAAATTCAAATTTGCCTTTGGTTTGCTTGTTGTTTCCATTTAAAACCAACAAAACATGGGAGACCCTCAAAAAAGGCACATGTTGCGGAGTGCCCCTCTGACTGCTTGTTTTGGCTCGCTTCGTGCACACGAGCGCTCAGCCAAGGCTACATGAGAGCATTCCACTCTCCGTGCACGAGGACTGGCTGTGCTTGCTGGCAAACAAGTGAGGTCTGCTTCAATATTTTGAAACAAACGGTGTTTTCTGCTTAGCATTTGACGCACCCTTGTGTTTCCTTATCGCTATATCGATAAAGAGTCCAACGAAAAACGATGGCCCTCATGGTGTCAAAAAAGCTTGTTAAACAGGTAACATAATTGGGCAATCCGTAATCACAACACATGTTTTTTTGTACAACCTCGATTGACCTGGCTGGTTCCCTCTAGGCCCCTACGAACAATGGGAGCATAACATGAAAGTCTGGGATTTGCCAAAGCTGGCAAGAAAGCAAGTAATTGAAGTGGTGCCTACATTTGTCATAACAAACCAGACCTATTTGTTTGCTGGTGCGATGGTAGGCAAAAAGGGCGCGCCGGGGTGTTGGGAATGAACCGTGTTGGATTCCCGAATTGAAAGGAAACGGCGACGGGTTATACAGGGGTAATTGTCTGAGAACCAGCAAGATAAATGAACCTCCGGGGAAAATAAACATAAACATCATACAGCAAGGATCACCTAACTTACACCGTAACATGGTGCGGTCTCAAAGCTACCCCCACCTAAATTGGTGGTTTTCCTTCTGGTGTTCCTTTAAAACCACATACATAGGTGTCCTTTTTAGGTGAGATTAAGAATAGATGGCACTAGGTGGGGTTTCTTCCATTTACCAGGGAAGCCCATCGATTTTCCCAAAGGCCACCTATGACCACAAGCACATGTTTCATTTCTGCGCGCAGCCAGAGTGGCAGCTCTCAGACTCTGCAGGACCCGGAAGCGGTCGAAGCGCCGGAGGCATCCGCTTCCTGGGGTCGTTTTTTTTGGTGTTTTCAGTTAAGCTTTAGTGGTTGGATTTCCGAGGAACATCGACTCAACACTTAACTGAAAACTGGTTGGATTTTAAGTTACTCGTTGGATTTCCATTGTTTTTTTTAAAGTTACTTTTAGTTTTTAATCCACAAGTTAGACTTGAACTGTCGGTATCTGAGGGCAGCTCAGTTCAATGAAGCATGGTCAGACGTTGCTCGACGCACACGGGTCCCTTTATAGGGAGTTCGGACCATTGTAAGGGTTCCAAGATGGCGGCCCTGAGTCGAGGGAAGCTTCTTGAGTCGAGGGAAAGGGATTAACCAAACATGACATACGACAAGGCAGAATTGGAGTGTTGCTTTCCCTCTCAGTAGCCATCTTTGAGCGTTGAAAGATCTGCCGCACAAAAGAGGCTTAGGGGTCTTACCCGGTGCACGGCGGATGCTTCTGCAACGGACACCCCAGCCTTGGTCATGGACCGCCATGACCAAGGTACCGGGAGGGCACGCCATCACCCATCAATCAGGTCATATATCCTCGGAGTCTTCGGCTTATCCTTGGCTGTCCTGGGCTGATTCAGGGATAGCCCCTCACCCCCCCCCCCTTGGAGATCTATTTGGCTGTGAGTTTTAACAGGGAACCCCTCAGTGGTTGGTGGACATGGATCACCTAAAGAATAGATTCTCACCATGTCGGGTCCCAGAAAAAACAAAAGAATGTCTTCTCATCCCACCTAAACAATGGATTCCCGCCAGGTCGGGTCCCAAAATTAAAGAGTTCAGACCCATCTCATGGATGGCTGAGCCTTTCTCGCCTTTTGTCTCAGGTCGTGAGGGCCAGGCAACGATCCCTGCGCGCCAAGCTGAAGGCCAAGTCTCGATTTTCGATTCGACCGTTCGAAGCGTGGGACCTGGATTTTTTTTTCGCCCAAGCGGTGTGGCTTCCAACAATGCGAGGGATTCCTCTTGGAACAGCCCCGTATTGATGAACCAGGCGGGGACCAGCTGGCAGACAAGGTGCGTACGGAAACAAGTGCTTTGAGACTCCGAGTGGTGGTTGTCTTTGGGGTTTCCCACAACTGCGAGCTTGACTTGAACGTGAGGACAAAGTATTCATCCCAGAGAATCCAAGTACCTTCTAATTAATTTAAGGAGGTACTTAGACCCCTTTTTACCCCCAAAAAGCCATCTTCAGGGCTTGCCATGGTGCCGCCCGCACAGGCTGAGGCAAGCCCTCCCGTGCCGGCGCGAGCGGCTCTCACCTCAGACGGGCTCAGAAAGTGCCGAGCACTGGTTGCAGGCGAAGCGAGGTCCGCAAGTTTGCGGAGACAAAAATGCCGTTGGCATAGAAGCTGCCCTCCCCCACACGATTTCATAGAAGCTCCCAGGACCTGGGAGGCCTTCTGGGAGGTTCCATGTTCTGAGGGAGTCGAGCTGTGCTAGCTGTTTGCTTTCGTGAACTCAACCAGGGGGACCAGTAGTCCGCTTCTCTCCCCTTTTTTGATTGGGAGGGTTCCCCTACTAAAATAGACAAACAAGAGAAATAAGTGGGTACCAACTTATTCTAACCTCTCTACTAACAAAAATAGACTACAGAAAAAAAGAAGAAACAAAAAGAACGGGTACCAACTTATTCTAACCTCAAACTACTGGAGGACCTAGACATTGCTCACGCAGCCAAATCAGTAGACAGTGAGTCAAAGCATAAGGCATCAATTTGCCCCCCAGTTTTCCAGGCCTCTTTGGTGAACTCAAGGAACGGTTTTCAGAAGACCTTTGGGCTTGAGCCGGGCTAGCCGCCGGGCTCTTCAGGTCTGCCGGCGCCTGCGGCGAAAACAGTTCTGCCCCGCTTTTGGGCCAGGCCGGGAGAATGGACGCCCAGAGGGTCTAAGGAGGCACTGAACGACCCCTTCTTACGCCCCAAAAGCCATGCTCAGGTACTTGGACCGGACCCTCTGGGTAGGGAACGCGCAGAAGGTTTGCGCTCTTGTGTTTCTGCGTTAAAACTCAAGTCATCTCAAGTTTCAACTTATTGATTGGAGTGGGAAGGCACCGTTTTAAAGGCGGACTGCAAGGTGTCAACCTTCGAGTTTCCTACGAAAGTCGGAGGGCACAGTTGTAGGAGATGCTTCCGGTGGCTTTGGGAATGGCTGTGGGTCAAACCCATTGGTAGCATTTTGGGGTAGGTGCACCACCCATTTCGGTCCATGTTAGTGGCAGTGGGGATTGGGATGTTCACTGGGGGAAATATTTTGGATTTTGACCCATGGCCAAATGACAGCTGGAAGTGAACTCCTCCGCTCGCTCGGAGGGCCGTGGCTGTTGCTTGATGCGAGGTGCGCATGGACTTCAGTTCATGCTTCGAGTCACCAAAAAAGGGTAAGCTTTGGGCATGTTACGAGCTCACTTGGAAGACAAGTTTACCCATTAGGTCCTTACTGAGACAAGGCTCCTTAAAAGATCTCCATGTTGCCCATTTGAAACATGCCTTTTTCCACCGAAATACAGGGAAACCACCATTTTGCAAGGCAATGTTCAGGTGTATAATGTAAGGATCCCTGTGAGAGTTCTGTTGTTTCCAGTTTGGAAATTCGGGTGCAAGTAGCTTCAGAGGATGGCTTTTGGGGGGCAAAAATGTCCAAGTAGCTCCTGAGCAGGTACCGAGGGACCCTCTGGGGATTTTTTGTCACTTGTGCAGATACCTGCTCTTCTGACTGCCAGCAACCTGTCCAACGCCGCTTTATCAGAGACTCCTGCTGTTCCAGCATACGTGAGCTTAGGCCTTTCCTGCCGGGTGGGATCGATGCTGTAAACAGCGCAGGGAGTGCATAGATGTGCATAGGGTCTTGTTCAGCGACAAGCAAATGAATGTGGGTCAACACCAATGACAGTACTCTATTTTAGTGGGGATTGGGATGTTCACCGGGGGTACGGGGTTTTGACCCATGGCCAAATGAATGTGTCTTCCAAACAGCTAAACCCGCATTACCACTCAGCACCCCAAAAGGAGGATCTCGGAGCATCGAGCTGTTGCCCTCAGGCCCCGATCACGAGGCGCCGGGAGGAGTGGCCACGGAGTACGAATTGCCTGAGGTTGGCTTTGACCAAGGGACGAAGGGGGATTTCTTGCCGATTGCCGACCTCTTGACTTGACTGCTAGTGGGTAACGGATCTTTGGATCTTTAGACTTTTTGGTTGAGATCAATTGGGATTTCCAGCTAAACGCCCAAAAAGTTGAACTTTTTGCAGGGGGGTCTACAGCAACCAAGTTGAGACGACCTGGCAAAGCCAGTGCTTCAATGGCGTTGAATAGTGAAGAACATTAGGGATGCAACAAACCTCAAGTTCACGACATACCCTCCCGTAGAGTGCTAGCTTACCACTAAACGTCTTCGACTTGCTTGATCAGGAGCAAAACAACAAGAAAAAAAGGAGCCCAGCCCAGCAAAAGCAAGGTCTTCGATTCAACTTGTCAGGTCCTTCGGCTCAAGTCTTGCGCCTTTCCCACGGAATGGGAACGAACATGGAGGTGGAAGTCGTTTGGGCGTTCAGCCGTTCCGTCATTTGCAACCTCAGCTTATCTTCGAAGATTACCATTCGCGAGTTGAAGAAGACCATTTCTGAACGTACGCGGGTCCCTGTGAGGTTTCTGGATGTGATGTGTGAAGACAAGGTGGCGACGGATACTCACAGACTCCATGACTTTGGAGACGCAGAGCTGCAGATGCAGGTGCTTCGCAAAAAGCCCACCGAGTTGCTGAGCATGCTCAGAGAATGGTACATCCGCGACTGGGACACTTCTCGTGGCACTTACCCAGAGCACAGCGCTGTTGCACGCTGCGACTTGCCAATCCTGGAATACATCATTGCCACGGATGCTGATGCAAGTCTTGTAAACGAGAAGCATGAGGTATGGCCAAGGCTGGAGAATCAAAAGGCTGAGCGGGCGGGGTCCGCAGTTCACCAAAATTGCACAGTTCTGCACTACGCGGTACTTCTGCGAGATGCGCAGCTTTGCAAACTGATCCTCGATCATCCGGGATTCCAGGGAGCCAATGTTTGTGGTACCATCAAATGCAACTTTCTCAACTGGACGGCCTTGCACATCGCATGTGACCTCGGAGTGAAGGACGTTTCTTTGTTGTATTTTGCCAAGGGATGATAGGACTGAATAACTTTTTGCCTACTAATGTTTTTTCCGTATTAAACCACTAATGGGAGCACCACTAATGGGTTTTTTGTATTAAACCACTAAAATTTATTCACTTTTGGAAGGGGAGCAGATTTCGCCACCGAGGTTTGTCTGTTGCTTCTGCGGCACCCTCAGTTTACAGCAGTCTGGGACCGAGACTTCGAGGGTCGCACCGCTCTGCACCACGCGATGTACGCGAGACAGCACGAAGCTTGGCTCCCGGCCATCCCTCCTTAGCTTCCCCAGAATTAGCACCCCTTTTTTTGTTTTCTTTTTTGGGGTCCCTTTGTTTTCCACTCACCAGGCAAACAATATTTGTTTTTTGCTGGGGTCCTAATTCCAGCCTAGTTAGCTTTTTAGATCCTTTTAGTGTTTAGAGGTAGTTTCCATTTAGCCCGCTAAAAATTAGTCGCTTTGAGCGGGGGATCTGAGGGTAGCCCAGGAAGTTGTAGCTGCTCTTTTGGACCAGCACCACGATCTGAAATCCCACCACTACGCGCTGGACCTCGCCGTGGAGTCCTATGACGATTGTCAGCGGAACTATAGACGTCCATCTCCTGACATGCAGAACATGTTGGTGCAGAGGTGTGCGAAGTCCATGTCTCACCTTTCACCAGAGGCAAACGCTTTTCTGAGGCAGCCTGAGAACCGGAACATGCTTCAGGACTCCCTGAAACACTGCGGCAGGCTATTGGCTGGTGTTCATTTGGGCAAAGGTCATTTGGATCTAGAGCAGGCAGTGCTCAACCGATTTGACCAAAGCACAAAGGATGAACTTGCACATCACCGCTATGTGAAACTGCAAAGACGAAGGAGGTTCGCTGCCAAAGCAAGTGAAGACAATAGGAAGCGGATGTGGAGGTCCAAGGCTTCGAGGATTACGTCCAAACATGCTGTTTTCACCGGTTATTTGGAAGATTGACCGTCAACACAGATTGATGAATGTGTGGAAGATGAACGCTTGGGCCCCTTTGAGTGTGCCGATGCTTGCAAGGCTTCTCATGGCTGCTGCGAGTGTACAGAGGCGTTTTTTGTTTTTGTTGTTGCGGGACATGGGCGTGGAAACAAAGTAGTATATATATATATATGTTAATATATATATATATATATTAATACATATATATATATATGTTTTATAACATACTGTAGTGTGCTGATGCTTGCAAAGCTTGTCATGGCTTCTGCGAGTGTACAGAGCGTTTTGTTCGAGAGATGGGCGTGCAAAGACAAATATCGCTTGGGTCCCTTTGTGCAGTGTGCCGATGCTTGCAAAGCTTGTCATGGCTTCTGCGAATGTACAGAGCTGTTTTCCGCGACATGTGCGTGAACAAAACAAATAGTCATTTTCACAGATAGCTGTACGTGCACGCACTTGCACCTCTATGCTGTTGTTGGATTGCAGATGCAGTGTCGATGTGAGTCGCTGTGAGTCGTTTCTTGTGTGCGCCTTGCACTCGCATGGCGAGCTCATTGCTAGCAAGCGGTCTTCAGCCCAAGTGACCGATTGCCAACAGCCCAATGGCTGTTTGTCATTGTTTCGCTTCAAAGGCCATCTTCTAACAGCCCCCGTGACCGTGTCCAAAAAGCATCGGTTGGAGATGCGGGGAAACAACTGAGTCCCCAGCCTCAATTCTTGTAGACCTGCTGAGGTTGGTCAGCAGTATTGCCAGATATTTCCCGCTGCACCGTAGTCAGCCAAATACGCATTAGCTGATTGACTCTGGGAGAAAGGTGTGCGTGTCCAAAGACAGCCCCTATCAGCCCCTACTAATACCAAGTATCCCCTGATTGGCACAGGGAGCATTATGCACATAGCATATGCATATTATATATATATATATTGCTTATATCTACCGTTTCAACATGTGCACGTATGTATAAGAATGTGACGTCATTATGCATGTTAACACATGCATGCCATGAGCTACTTAACACCAGAAAAAAAGGAAGAAAACAAAAAGCAGGAGTCCTGAGAAACAAAAAAAACAGGTTTTGTGTGGAAAAGCCTGGTTTTGCAAGATCGTCGTGTTGCGTACGGGTGGTTACGGTGTTTGTACGGAAAAATACGGTGTTTTTCCGCGTGTTTTACGGGTTTGTTACGGGTCCGACTTCGAAAAACCCGGTGTTTCCCTGCCAGAACCTGTTTTTGTTTTGCAAAAAAACTGAAAAGCACAGGTTGCTTGGTTCTGACCCGCTTTTTAAACCAGGTTTTGGCAGCCTAAGGTGTCTAGAGTATAGAGTGGGGGCTGGGATCACCGGCGCCAGGCAAGGGCTGAGCCCCGCTCGCCGAAAAGGCGGGGGCTGAGCGATGCGGAATTTCATCGGCCGAAGCATTTGAGCCACCCCCTTCGATTTGCTGAAAGGAATATGTTTCTATTTTCCCTTCTTGGTTTTAAATGGAATTGATCACTACTTTCTTTCTTTTTCGAGGGGTCTTAACCAAATGGAAGCCTTTCTTCCGCTACAGCATAAGCTGGGTGTGTTTTATTCGGGGTGTAGCAGTGTAGTGCCATTTGGGCAATGCAGCAAATCGTGCTGCCCACACCAATTGCTGTTCCAGTTGTGTTGCTGATGCAACAATTGCACCAGAACATCAGCAGGTTCTTGCATCGCTCTTATATTTGTAGGCTATGTTTGCTGATGGAACCACTGGCATGGTTCCGAGTCACTTGCTCAAAACCCGGGTAGTTGAAGATTAGGGATAATCCCAAACATGGTTGCGGATAGTCGCCTGGTTAATTCTGTACACGGTCTTGGGTCCCGACCATGTTATAGAACAAGTAGACGATCAGTTTTGTGTTTTTTTTGATTATGACTCATTTGGGTTCTGACGTCACAATATACTTATGGGAGTCTTGTGCCACTACCACTAGCGCCACTTTCTATAGGGAAACCTGAAGTGACATAGTCATGGGCTGGATGGACCAAATCCTGCATGGTAGGTAGTTTGTCCCATTCTACATGGAGTTTCATCCACTCCAACTGGTGCGTTTGTCGATTTCGCCCATGATCACAAAGCTTGGCAGAGGCCTAGGATGCTCTCCCTTCAGGCGCCGAACCCGATGAGAACTGGGACCTGGACCTGCAGGACCTTGCGGCAAGCAAAAGTGGTACTTGGTGGTTCCCAGCTAAAGCGTTTTCGTCGGCTGAGTGGTAGTTGGTCCACGGCTCATATTCCGCCGTGAATCAAAATGCAATTTCGTGTGTTTTTACTCTTCGAGTTCAGCTGCAAATACTGATATGTCTCGCGACTTTTGACGCCCGCTCAGCACTGCACCCACGGCGGAATATGCGCCGTGTTCCTAGTTTCCACTCTAGAAGTTCGTTACTTTTTGCTCAGAACATGGACAACCCAGTGTAGTCTGGAAGTGCAGCCAACGAATCCAAAGTCAGCTTGGCCTCGCCGGAGGGCAGTGCCAGGTGATTCGGGAAAACAACTACCATCCCAGCCATTGGATTCAAGGCCAACGGACCGAGGAGTCAAGGTTGCAGCAAGAAGCCATAAGGTTTTCTTCCTCACGAGAACCGAATGGTAGCTTCCATGTTGGTTGCACATTTTAGAGAGGTCACCAATTCGCGAACACTCCCATGTCGAATTCTCCTGAGGAGTTCACATGCGCGCGAGTTTGGAGAGTCAATGAGTTGTGGGATAATTCACTGCCAGCATTTTGTCACTGGACTTCAGCGTTGGCCGAGACGAGGCGGATGTGTCCGCCTCGGCTGACCTGCCGATGTGTTCACGGCAAATGCGGCGAGTGTAGTGTCAATGCACGAAACAGGCTGCCCAGCAGCCGGGGGTGAGGCCCGCCAAAGCCAAGACTTGCCTTTTGGCATTGAGCTGTCGCGCGTGCCCGTGCATGGCTGAATCGACCTGTGCTTTCAGCAGAGAAAAAATGCGAGAGAGCGAGAGGTGGACTCGGTTGTTGTTGGGCAACATTTTACAATTTTGCTTATTGTGGTTTAGTGGGAAATCCCCACTTGGCTGCTAAAATTTAATTTGTTGCTCTCCTTTCAACGTCAACCAAGTGGAGAGAGAGAGAGCGAGCGAGACCGGAGGTTGGGACCTCGCTGTCACGTTCTCATGTGACATTTTGATCAGGAGATATGCAATGGAAATTGTAAGTATCCCAACCCTGCCAGCACTCCATTCTGGAAGGAACGCGCGCGGCTTCCACCAACTACTGGGCATGGCAACTGGCAGAGTGAGTTTCGCGGCTCTCATTGTTTGATTATGATGATTGCTTGAAAATCATGTGGCTCCAGGCAGTTGAAAGGCTTGTGCAAAGGCACGCCAAACCTACTAAACAACAATCTAGATATCATGCAAAATGAGTCAAATGTGTTTTGGTTGTATGTGATCGCACGTCACTCCTTAAAGGATCTTGTGTTAGTTTCTCCGCCGTACGTTCTATTGCGGCATGGGCTGGCCGAGGCATGACCTCGTCAGCTTCGCATGTTTTTGACGCTTATTAAGCGCCCATGCGCCCTGGTCGCTTCAAGAAGCGCTTCAAGAAGAAGCGGAGGGTGACCCAAGATGAGGAGACAGGCAAAGCTGAAGCTGAAGCTGAAGCTGAAGCTGAAGCTGAAGCTCAGGAAGGGGCGAGCGATCGTTGGCGCCTTCCGGGCACTTTGCTGGTAGGCCTTGCTGCTGGCTTCACCCTGGCCTCGGTGGTTTTGATGCGGCCAGAGTGGGAAAAACCGGTCATGGAAGCAACTGTCGCGGCTTCCTACGACTTGAACACACCGCGCACGCACTTGCTGGAGACAACGCCGCAGATGTACAAGGCAAGCGGTGGAACTACCCTTACCTATCACTAAGCTGACCAACATCTGCCCAAACCACCCCCAGATTCGCTCAAGCCATGCCTAAAACAATCCGGCGTCCACCCGAAGCTGACGCTAAATCAACCCGGCAACCCTGAACACACTTTTTTAGGCCACTCAGACAGGGTGGTCACTCCTAGTCCGAGAATTCCGCTTGCCTCTTAAGTGGTACCCGCTTCCGCTTTCACGTGCAGCCACGTGAAGCTGTGCTGAACCCGCAACATCCCATAACCCCAAGCTTCTCGAGCGGAAGCGGAACTTCGGAAACGAACCGAAACAAAACTTTCTTTGCAGGTTTGGGGCTGGAAAAGAGACAGTGGACGCCAACTCAATAGTGCAACCAAAAACACGTTCGAAGCCCGACGATGAAAAGAAAAATCGACGCTTCACGGTGGGTTTACTCGCAATAAGGTGGGTGGACGAAGTCCGGCACTACCTCAGAAACTCTGGAAGGTTTCAACCATGGCTTCATTTTATGGTGCGAACGGCTTGTGTCCATCCACAGTATGGCGAACAGGAATCGCATCCACTGGATGACACCCCGACCTCTGCCTTCGGCGAAATCTCGAAGGCGCCAATCCTCGAGATCCTGCCGGCACGGGGCGATTTCGACGCGCCGCGCGCCGCAGATCCAACGATTTTGGAGGGAGCTGGACCGAATGTTGGTCGGAGCAAGCTGGACCTGGCGTCGGGATTTCGGCAGCCGGGGGATTTTAAAGATCCGAAGGTCATTTGGATCCTGGGCAAAAGTCAGATGGGATTCAATCGGGCTTTTCGATTCAATTCCCGAGCTCTTTTGCTGAACTGCCCCAGTTTTTGCCAAAGGAAGACAACAGCCGCCGAATATACGGGGCAACCTTTCTCTCAGGTGGTTAGGCAATGGAGTTTGAAAACACCCCAACATGGTCCCATCAAGAAAGCAGCCATTTCAACTTTCTTGGCCCTCTTGGGGGTTGCAGGTCCTCTCACACCTCCAAAAAAACACTCATTGACCGTATACCGTTGCTCGGTTTTCGTTAAAGCTGCTGCGCCACCCAAATTCCCGGCGACTCAGAATCCCAGAACATCATGAGGCCGGGCCGGCCAAGAAGGCCTTGGGCCGACACCTTGGAGCCAACCCTGTTACGGCCGCAAGTCTGCGCAAAGGTTCGCCCTGCCTCCATTTGTGTTTTTGTCCCCTGCTTTTTATTTTATTTTTATTTTATATATATATATATATAACGAACATATTTCCAGTAGAAACCAATTCCCTTTTAAAACCAACACAAGAAAAAATACAAAGAAATAGTTCCCAAATGCAAGCCTGGGGTTCAGTTTCCACCATTCAAACCATGGGTCATAAAAAGCCGCCATGGTTTTCCTAAGGATTGTCAGCATCCAAGCAGGGTCAATCTTTCTTTTAATGGGGCTTGAACCCCTAGGGTTCGGATTGTAAGGCCTACACATGTCAGCCATCATTTTCAGCAGAACCGAAAGTCAACGGGGGTTTGGGGCAAGGGTTTATGGGGATTATTGTAAAGCCTATGCAAACCTTCATATTGGGCAAGGGTGCCTGCCAGCTTTTTTTTTCAAACAAATGCATAAACCGACCATTTTGGCAGGACCAACAGTCTATGGGTTGGCGAGGGCTCGTGGAGGTTATTGCAAGGCTTAAACCTTTAGACCGCTTCGCTAGAACCAAATGCCAACCGGTTTTGGGAAACGGTTCATGGAGGTTCTTGTACCGCCCATGTATATACCTTATTTTAAAGAAACATGTGGGACCAACAGTCAATCGCTGTTGAGCAAGTGCGCAGTCTGGTTATTGCAAGCCCGACGGAAACCGCAAGACCATTTTAGTCACGGACCAAAAACTCAGCGGGTGTTTGTCAGCCGACCGCAAACATCTTGCCTAGGATCCATTTGCACGGCTTCGGCGGCACCACGATGTGCGACATGGCCCGGGCATACGGGGAGAAGGTGACCAAAGCCGTGGACAACTGCGCCCTGCTGGCAGTTGGCCATGGGTCAAAAGCCAAATCGTACCCCCAGTGAACATCCCAATCCCCGCTAAAATAGACTAAAATGGGTGGTGCACCTACCCCAAAATGGTACATTGGTTTTGACCCACAGCCAGTTGGCTTTTCCAGTTGATAGTCAGAAATTGTTACCTTTCAGATTTGCATGATGGTTCTCCTCACTTTCTGAGTTCCTGGACTTCAAACTTTTGGGGAAAGACCATTTTGGTGGTAGACAAAAAGTCCGACTCTTCGCCAATCCGCTCAGGAAGCGAGTCTTTTGGGTGCCTACAATGGCAACCGTAAGGGAAAGATGTGGCCCATTTCGGGCACATGCCCCCCAGACACCCAGCAACTTAGAGTCAAGCTTGAAGCGACTGACTAGGGCTTGGCACCAGGGGCCTGGAATCCTTCACCACGAGGGGGTCGAGCAGTGTTCCCGAAAAGGTGGCAAAAAGACCTCTGCGTGGAACGCTCTGAATTTGGCTGTTCAGCTTTGATGTGTCGCAGGCCACCCACGCTCCTTAGAGGCAAGGCTTACAAACACGCGTCGAGCCTACCAGCGTATGTGGCCTTTTGGCCGAGCAGGATTGATTTCGTGACAAGTTCTGAATCTGGGGAACAAACAAACACTTTCCCAGAGGGTCCTTAGGTACCGGTAGAAAGGGGTCGTTCGGTACCTCCTTAGAAGGTACTTGGACCCAATGGGTTTCAATAAAACAAACACTGTTCAATACTTGGTGGCTCCCAGCTATCCCCTTTTCTTTGTGGCCTTTTAGTGTTTAGTGGTAGTTTCCATTTAACCCACTAAGAGTTAGTCACGTTTCGCGGGGGATCTGAGACCAGTCCAGAATATGCTTTTCATTTGCAGTTCCACTTGTCTCTCACAGCACACTATGGTGATTTTTGGTGTTTCGTAAAACACCTTGGCAACAGTGCGCAAATCCAGCCAGGAAAACAGTCATCCGAACTGCTTTGTCCGAACGCATTCGATCACCGGTCTGCCAACCTGGGACCTTCTGCCGCTTTTTCTCGTTCAGGGATGGGGATGCGTCTAAGCGCCACGCAAAATGTGAGTGGCTGGCAAAAGCAGTTGCCCAACAGACCTGGACCCATTGATACACAAAGCTTTGCTCGAGCTTTGCAAATAAGTGCGTGAGAAGTCTAGGTCCCGCAGTAGTGCCCTTTTGCCCTTTTTGGGGGGAGGGTTCCCCTACTAAAATAGACTACAGAAAAGAAACGTGGGCACCCATTCTAACCTCTCTACTGGAGGACCTAGTAATGGTATATGCAGTGCACATGCAACACACGGCCTGCGGGGCGGAGCTTTGGCTTTACACACTTTTTGGAGTTGCGCCCGAGTTGCGGAAAAATCTGCGCCCGAGTAGAGGTACAGTGTGCTCGAGTTTGCGAGTTCGTTTTCTCTCGAGCACTTCACCAAAGCAGCCAGGCAACCTCAAGAAGTGCTCGAATTGGATTTGAGCAGGAAAACAACGCTCAAATGCGAGAAAACAAACTGTCCAGAGCACTTATTTGTGTATGAAAGGGTTTTTTCAGGGAGTTAGATCAATCGGGATTTGTTTACAATCTCATTGTCAGGGACCCCAAAGAAGCGACCCAAGAGGCGACCCCTCCCCAAAAGGCATCCAAAAGAACTTCCGGAACCCTGTTCGCCCCGAATACGCCTTTGTTCCGTTGCCAAAAGCCCCTACTCGGATTGGAGGCCTGCTAGCTGGCCGTTAGCAGGGGCTGGCAGAATTCAATGCTAGATTCTAGAGCCTGAGCCTGGGGCAGACATGTTTCAGCAAGTGGGCTCACATTGAACGCCGACAATCCATTGGAAGAAGGACTGTGCGTATCTCTACACTCCTTGGTTGTTTCTGGGTGCCTTAATTTTTGGCTAATCTGGTTGTCCTCTGCATGTTCCAGACCAGCGGCCCCAGACATCGGCTTGGCCAGTGGTTTTGGGCCGCTGTAAGGGAACCCCCTTGGTAGCCCTGATGGCTTTTGGGGGGCAACAAGGGCCGTTCAGTACCTTCTTAGGTACCAGGATGAGGAGTTGTTTTCTGTTTGTTTCTCTTTTCTGTTGTTTCCTCCTCTTTTTTTTTTTTTTTTGGGGGGGGCGGGGCGGGGTGAAAGCTTTGGATTTCGGCTTCACCAGGGTTTTTTGGAGGGGGGGGCAACGCAGAAAAAGCAAATCTCCAGTTTGCTACCATTTGAAACATTTGTGGCTTTTTCAACACCAAAATAAAGGGGTTTCACACCATGTACAAGTTGCAATGTGTAGGTGTATTGTGCATCCGGATCCCTGCTCAACAAGGTTTTTGGCGCCTCAACAAAGGGTCGGTTGGTTGGTTTGCGGTTTTTTTAATGGACAGGTTGTGGGCACAAGCAAAAGCGGCAACACCATGGAAGGGGATCCCTGTGGGCTGCTTTGGACTTTCCGGGAGCCGATCTCAGGCAACCTGCTGCCGGACGCCTGCTCTACGCCCAAGGCCTTCCGCATCCCCTGCAGCAAGCGCGCGGCCAGCGTGAGGCCTGGGTCTCTCCAGAGCTATAGGTCCCGGGACCCATTAAAACTCGCATCCATATAGCTATAGGTGTTGCTCAAAAAACCATGAACCCCATTGGGTTTAATGTATTTCTTTTGTGGTAGCTCGAAGGACACCAAAGGAAAACCGAGCATTTACTAGGTCCCCCAATTGGTGCCCGTTCACCCTGTGTCTTTTTTGGGTGGGAGGGTTCCCCTGCTAAAATCGACTACAAAAGTATGATTGAACCAACAACAGTTCATATGTCCCTAGGACTTTTCTTGGAACCGAGCCTTTCCCAAGTTCGCCAGAAACCCAAACAACGGGTGGGCTCAATCATGGGGATTGGTCCAGAATGGTTTTGCTGGTAAACCCGTGGGAAATGGAGAAGTTGGCTAAGCCCTGCGAAGACCCGAGCTTAGTTTTGAGCCACACCCGTTAAACATGTAGAGCGAAGAGCTGACTTATTGGCGCCAGCCACGCGTTGAACGTGTGCCTTTCACTGACCTCCGCCTTTCCCACGGAAAGAATCCGTTTTGCCTGAGTGGAACTGGTGTGGAACTTTATCATTCGATCAGAACAAGCCGGCTGTCTTTGACGCCTTCGTTTTTGTAGATGTTAGGTCCCCCAAGTTGTCCTACTTTGTCCGACATTGTCCTACGTTGATGACTGATGCTCCCCATGCCCATGTGACAATGCGACACAGATGCTGCGCTGATGCCAGGTATACCTTCACGGCAGTGGAAAGGTCGTTGGACGATGATGACTTGGTGTGTAGTGGCCAGTCAGGGACAATGCTACTCGGGATCATGTTGCGAGACCCTCTGGCCGGCATCAAGTCCACTTGGATTGGTAACGAGCTGGACAAGGGCGCGATTCTGCGTGCCATGAGGACCACCACTTGCGTACATAAAAAAAGAAAGGTGTTTTGTTGTACTTCCATGTCTTGGACCAACGATACTTGCTTGAAGTGATTGATACAGTCATGCGAACGGCCCACATTGGTATGACAGAAATATTCGCATTCTCCGGAACCAAAATGGAGCCCTCATAATTGGACCAAGGACTCAAACCTGACCTACTGTGGATGGACAAAATCCATTTCGCATCACTTTGAAACCATGGGAAACAATAATGTTTGTTGGTATCTACAGGGGAATCGATCATTTTAGGGTTTCTTAGGTGGTGCGAAATGGATTTCGTCCACCCACGGTGGTTGAATTCTGGCCGCTCGTGAGGACCGGAGTGGTTCCCAGAGGTTTCGGCTTCCACTTTTGCCTGCCGCCCTTGGACACCTATCAGCACTTCGACAACTTTGCGGTGCGCACGCTCAGCGGCGACTATGACCTGGCCCCCGGGGCTATGACAGCTGAGCACTTGGCCAAGGCCAAGGACCGAGTTGCTTTTTTGGAGCTGGGGGAATGGGGGGTCTCTCTTTTTTTTTGCAGAGATTGGGAGGTTGCCTGCTTTGTGGGGTTGTTTTGAAGGAAAGACAAAGGGACACCAAACACTGTTGGGGGTCTCTTACTGTATTTTAAGACACACCCATTTCTGGCTCTAAGGAAAACGAAGCACCTCCTGCGTATGTGGGTCCCCAATTTTCCAGACTGTTTGGTGGGTTCCCCAAGAAGACATGGAATCCTCCAAGAATGGATCCTTCCTTCTACTCGAGCGAACACAGAGGCAACTGTAGTAACTGTCAAACGGTCTTGGTTTGCATAGGATCCGACTCAGGGCAGTCATCAACAATGATTATCACTTGGGGGACTTACAACCATGGCTTTGGTGGGATGCAATTATGGTTGTCAATAATTTATTTGACTTGCCCTGCTCCTTCAAGTAGGTGTCACTGTCATCTATTTCAGCCGAACAGTCCGCAAGGACCCATTGTCGCTACAAGCCCCCTGCTCCTTTTTAAGTGAATTATGGACATGAACACTCTCCCAGACGGTTGGGCATCAATTCCCACCTAAATGATTCCTCTCAAAGGGCCCCAATTCCAAGATAGACCCTTACTATGTGTATACATGTGTATATGTGTATATATGTGTATATGTGTAATAGGTCTACATATATATACATATATATCTGTACACATACATATATATATATATATATGCATATATGTATACATGAATATGTGTACACAGTTGTGTCTATGTATGTATATATATATATATATATATATATACCAGTATATGTATATATATATAGATAGATGTATCCATTCGCGTATACTTGTGCGTATACATATATCCTCCCACTAACACCGAAACTGTGGAAGGGTACCTGGAGCATCATAAATCCTTGTGAAGGCCTTTGGAGGGAGGGTATCCAATTTTGGCTAGACATCCCCACCCCATTTAAACATGGACTTGGGGGAGGGGTTTTTGTGACCCCCGGAGATCTCCATTTCTGGCTCCATCTTCCCTATTGAGAAGACTAAGACTAGAGAAATCGAATTGGGGAACACCCCCCCCCCCCGCCCCTCCCCATATGGTACTTCTGGTTTTTCCCCTGGTTTGAGTCTGACTCCGCAGATTGGCTCAACTCAGGAGGTGCTGTTGAAGCTGGACGTGGTGCTCATCATGGAGGAGTTGTCGGACCACCTGGCTCAGCTGCGCGCGTTCTTTGGGTGGCAGGCGGAGTTCAGTTGAAAGAACCGCCCAACCTTTGAAAAAAGCGACCCCATATTAGTCAACCCTAGTTTTTTAATAGGGGTCGCTTCCCCTTAGGTTTAGCGATTGGAATCAGATGACTTTTGGAGGTTTCCCTATTAATACGCCGGGGTTGATGAATATGGGGAACACATAGGGAGGATCAAACATAGAGGTCATGGCGCAGATGATGGCCCCCTTGAAGGAACGTCCGGTTTAAATCTGCTGATGGACGAAGTCCTGCACCTAAGAAACCCTCGGATGTATACGTACCAACAAACGTTATGGTTGGCTGCGAAGGGATGTCGTCCACGGTATGACAAAGGGTTTTCGGTCACCCGAAGCGATACCTTACGAAGATATGATCACCTCCCGACAGTTCGCCCTCAATTTTTCAGAGCGATACCTTTCGAATGGAACACCTCGCCCAAACAAAAAACACCTGAACTCCTCCGCGCGCAACTAGAGGCGCTTCCGCGCGCCTCTAGGCGCGCGCCGGTTCCGCGCAACTGCCGGAAGCGGCCCAGGTGGATTTGTCTCGGAGCCCCTGGAAGTCCCACGGCCACAAGATCCCCAAGAACGCTTTGACCGACGAGGAGGAGGCCTTCCTCAAGAAGGCGCCGAGCGGCCGATGGGCGCGCGTTCGTTTTTGGCCTAAGCCAAAGGAAGCGAGCGAGCGGCAAGGCGAAAGCAAGACACCCGAAGGCTGCGGCGAAGAGTATTTTTTCCGGTTTGTTGCCCGACTTGAGGTTGGTTTGAAGGAACGCCAAACGGAACACAATATATGTTGTGTTGTTTTGGGGGGTCATGGACAATTTAGCCTTTCGCAACATGACACTTTTCCAGCAACAGGCAAAGAAACCGCCACTTGGGAACTTTGGAGAGCAATGCGTAGGTTGACGCAATGCTTCAACTGGCTGCATTTGAGTATCAGCCAACCCCCCGAAATAAGCCAAAGCAATAGTGCCAACAGCTGGAACGCGGCCGCGACTTTGCCCCATTGTTTGGCACGACGTTGTGAACCAATGATGAACCTGCCAACGCCTGCTTGTGGAAATAGTGTGACGCGTTTTGTAAGACTGGAAGGGAACCGACCTCCCAATGAAGGCGTGCAAAGAACTTGCAGTCAAGTTTCAGTTAGCTTATCGCGGGGAGTGTTAAGATTCTTGCAGTTGTTAATCTGTTTGTTCTGCTGCATAGATGGTGCTAAGCATGCCAAAGCCGCGTTGAGAGTCGTTTCTTTAGCCTTCATTGTGGAAAATGCAGCTCATGGCTTCCGTCCATGTATGGAGCTACTATTGCAACGGACTAAGTCACAAGAACGGGTTATCAGGCGGTTATGAGGCACTGCTAGACCAACTTACATCACACTCATCGGACAATGGTGTATATGTTTGTGTGTCTGTGTGTCTCTGTGTCTGTGTGTTGGCGTGTGTTTGTGTGTTTGCGTGTTGGTTTTTGTGTGTGTGTGTGTGTTAGTATCTGTGTGTGTGTCTGTTAGTGTCTGTGTGTGTGTGTGTTTGTGTGTGTCCGTGTGTGTCTCTGTGTGTCTCTGTGCGTATCTCTGTGTGTATGTGTGAGTCTGTGTATGTGTGAGTCTGTGTTGGTGTTTTTTTTTGTGTTTGTGTCTTTGTGAGGCGAACGAATTGGACTACGAGCTTTTTGACTTCGGCAAGAGCCTGGCTCGGCAGCTTACTGCCCACGCCCAAAGACGTCTGGCCTTCTAATTCTGTAAGGCTTTGGCAACTACGTTGACCCCAGGCACGGTTGAGCCAACCTGTTGCCATGTTTAAACACCTAGCTTGAACACCCTTTCGATTTTCCTAATTATTGACCCATGGAAGATGCAGTGACTTCCATTCTCTGAAAGGATTTGTTTTGGTTTAATATCCCTTGTTGGTTTTGAAGAGAATCGATTTCACTACTGGATGGTGTTTTAGCATTTTTCCCAGGGCGAAAAAGCAAAATGGGGGTTCTGTACGACTTTGGCCCCAGGCAGGGTTGAGCCAACCTGTTACGTGTTTGAACGCCCAGATTGCACACCCTTTCGGTTTCCCTAGTTTCCACATGGTTGAAACAAGTTTGACCCCAGGCCAATTGGAATTTGTCGGTAGACTTTCCAGTGAGCCAGCGGGCGCAATGGCACGGCCTTCGCATTCATCCGGCTGCATTGCAGTAAAGTGGACCACACCCGCACGAAATGAATGCAATCCAGCACGCAAGTCGGTTTGTGCTATATTAGTCACTTAAGCTGTTTGTACTTCGGCAAACTCCTGCACCGATTCAGCCTTTTTCGCATCGGCACGCACGAAACAAGGCTGCAGGATTCTGTTCCGAAGGACAAGCGGGTTCACCGTGGATGGTGCAGCCAATGCCTTATATGTGCCAAAGAGCAAAAGCTGCTGAGCGCTTGCCGCTTGCAAATCTACAAGGTCTGATTGGATGTGGGTAAGCTTTTTTAGGTGACCCCAAGTTTGTGGTTGTCCTTTTGGATTTGCCGAAAACCCCCACACCCATTTCTGGATTCGATTTGCCGAACCCGTGGAGAAGTAAAACACCCGGTTCCATGGGAGATGTCTGCTCCGGCTAGAAACCGCTTGACCTGAAGTCTCGGCCGACATTCTGGGCGCGTTCATTTGGCCGACGAATTTGCTGCAGCTGCGTCAGTTTTCGGAATCCCCAAAAGCGGGCCAGGGCAAGACATGCGGTGCCAGACTTAGCAAGCAGACAGAAGCATGGCTTGCCAACTACAAGGGCCAGTCTTTGGATTCCACACCCGCAAGCGGGCTGTCTGCAAGCGATCCGCGCCAGTCTTCGGATTCTGCACCCACCCAAAACGGCCGGCCGTTTGGTCCGCCATGGCGGCGAAGGCGGCGAGTGAAATGCTCGCGCCGGTGGACCTGCCGCCGGTGAAGCTGGGAGTGAAGCAAGACTTCAGATCCATCGCGGGCATGGGCGTGAACTTCCCAGGTCCGTGCTGGAAAACGACAAAAGGTGAGATGAAGGTTCATAGGTGTCCTGTGTAAGTTATATAGCTTGTTTTAAAAATAGAAGGCACTGGTTTAGATGGGTTTGATTCCATTTACCTATTGGCCATCGATTTTTCCAAAAGGACACCTATGAGAAGGTTAGTAAGGGATAGTCCCAACCACAAACGGGCGGAACCCGGCAATTTTAGGTTCTTTACCTGATGCCCGCCCATACCGATCACTTTTGATTCAGGTGGCGACGTCATGTATCAAAGCCTCTGGCGGAAGAATGGCGGGGATCTGAACCTTTGGCCAAAGGAGGAGCGCTATTACAAAGGCCCTCGCCTGGGGGAATATGCGCGGCCCATCATCATGAATCGCAGCCCGGTGCAGCGGCACACTTGTTTTTGCTGTTTCCAGTTTGAGTTTCCCGAAGTTCACTGACTGCAAGTGGTGCCTGGCTATTTTGAAAGGCGGCTGACCCCACAAAGAGCATGGCTGCTCGGTCCTGCGTTTCCGGCCTGTCCATGGCAAGGAATTCAATTGGTTGACCCCTTGGTTCTTGTTCAATCGGGAAGACACCAATCCACCAAAGCAAGGTGGAGGAAGCCAAAGAAAACCACGCGTCTTGGAGTATTTTTACCTGAAGTGCGTACCAGCTCCCGTCCACGAAGGATGCCCGTTTTAAACTGGGTTGGGAAGCAAGTTTCAAGAGGAACACGCAAAGCGGAATGTACATCCATGTTTAGATGGATGTTTCTATTGCAGCTGCCTTTTCCGAATTTGTGTTCAAGGACAACCTAAGGGACACCACATTTTAGGACTTCCCATCTGGTGAGACCCATCCTGGTGTTAAATTTGAGTTCAGGAACAAAAGACACTAATACTCATCCCCTTGTAGTTTCCTTTTTGGAAAATGAGTCATCAGGGCGTGACTTTGATAGTGGCGAAGTCATGGGCCCTGTCTTTAGCACCCATTTTTTGGGGGAGGGTTCCAAACCATTTTTGGAGACATCCCTGAGTCTCTGGTAGGAACCTGTTGAGACCGGAAGAAGCATGCACCCAGAAGCCATCCCAGAAACCCACCGAATATTTGTGCCATTTGTTTTGAGCCCAGCCGAAGCCCTGAATGTTAAGCCAGCCTATTTGGTTGTGGATCAAAACAAATGGTACCCAAAATGGAATACCTGGAGTCTCCATGACCCGTTAAAAATGGGGTCATTACCCAAAATAAAGGGGTCATGGACCCATTTTTAAAGGATCATGGAGACTCCAGGTAGACTCAAACCTGCATACCCTAGCTTTTTCATTGATGCCAAGAGGGTCTGTCGTTTTTGGGAACCCCCCTCAAATCGTGGGTTTCTTAGCGGCCTCCCGTCAGAACCACAAGAAAGAGGGGGTGGTTTTCCTGTGGTTTCCCTTTAAAACTAGATCCTTTTGGTTTCCCCTCGAAAGCACGAAAACCAGGGGGTGCCAACTCCACAACAGACGGACCACCCACAATCGTGGTTTTCTCTCGGTTTCCTTTCAACCCCAAATTGCAAGTGGGGTTGTCCTTGTGGTTTCCCTTCAAAACCACAAAAAAACCAGGGACCAGCCAGTAGTGCCCGTTTACCCTTTTTTGGTTGAGGGCTCCCCTACTACAACAGACTACAGCAAAAAAAAGGGTACCCTTATTCCATCCTGTCTACTGGAGGACCTAGTTGACATAGAACCCAACTTAACCATCCAACTGGTGACCTCCTTTAAGGGGACCACCTGGGCTGTGCGAGAGGTGCAGGCAACTTAAATATGGCCATTCGCAGAGGGCTCTCCCTTTCCCGGGCCTGGAAAAGACGGGGCTTTTTGCGCCCAGGCAACGTGCTGGGCTATTTGAACCAGGCCCCGGTGCCTCTGAGCGCGGCGGAGGACGAGCTGTCGCTGGTGGCAGAGGCCTCGGGAGGCGCCCGGCGCGCCAAGGCCCACGCGCTCTACGCGCAGCAGGCGGCGGAGAAGGCCCGAGCCTTCTACAAGCGCCTCGGGTCTGGGGGGGTGGGGTGGGGGGGGGGTAGGGTGGGGTGGGGTGGGGTTGGGTGGGGTGGGGTGGGGTGGGGGGGGTGGGTTGGGAGGTGGGGTGGGGATGTTGCAGTGGGGGGGATAGTTGGGGGTCGGGGGAAGGTCTTCCACAAGCGCGGTGGATGGGTTGGGTGGGTGGGGTAGGGTGGGGTATGGTAGGGTGGGGTGGTGTAGGGTGGTGTCGGGTAGGGTGGTGTAAGGTGCGTTGGGTGGGTGTGGGGTGGGTGTGGGGTGGGTGGGGATGTTGCAGGGGGGGGATGGTTGGGGGTCGGGGGGAAGGTTTTCTTGCTGGTGCGATAGGTAGGGAATGAGGGAATGAACCGGAAGGGGGATTCCCTGGAAGGAAACCATAGGATGGATGGTTTATAGGGGACCAGAAGCAGAGGCGAAACAAAGAGGCAGAACAAACAACCTCTTGATGAGTGTGGCGAAAAACGATTCGATTTAAACATCACAGGCTCTCTTTCTGGGGTCATGCTTTTGCTGAAAAAAAGAGGCCCATGCACGCAAAGCACCTGGAAGCACTGGGAAAAACATATATTCACCTGAGAGGGTTGGCCAATAAGTCCAAGCTTTGTATTTCCCACTAAAATGGTCTGCCCGAAAAGCAATAAGGCAAGGTGGTATACCCAACAGACACGCAGCCCCCTGGAACCAAATCTCCGGAACCCTCCCAAGCCACCCCAGAACCTATTTGGGCAGAGAACCCATAGCTTTCAGCTGTTGGCAAAAAACCTTTAGATGGGTGTGGCTCAAAAATCGGAATACCCAAAAATGGCCCAAAGGGTTGAGCAACAGCCACACTGGTTGAGTGGGTGGTTTAAAGTATTGCTGGGTGGATGGTTCCATGATTTGAGGTGCTTGGAATAGACACCAGCCGGTTTGATGTGGGTTGGGTCAACGGATTGTATGGTCAACCAACCTGCCTGTGTTGACTTTGTTTTGTTGGTGTTGGCAGCGTCGGGATATTGCGCTGTTTGTTGTTTGGTTGAATCTTGGTGGGGTTTGATGTTGCATGGTTGTGTGGTTTGACTGTGTCAAAGGTGGTTTGATAGTGGCTGTAGATAGGTCAAATGTGGCTTAATGGTGGTTTGATGGTGGTTTGTCGATCGCATTGCAAGCATCCCCGCGCTTCGCTTTGGCATCCTCGCTGTACCTATGTTTTGGGCTAGTTGTCAGGCATTCTTGCTTCTTTGCCGGGAATGTGGGAATATCACCACCAGCCATTCCCTAGACGGATTCCTTTGTGGTTGGAAGGCGCACTCCCACATTCTCTGAGAACCAGCAAGCCGTCCACGCCGAAACTTCATCCTCCTGGGCTTGTGCCAAAATAAGGGTTCCTGTTGGTGTCCCTTCAAACTCAACTTCAAAGGCGTACCCTCAAAGAAGACATACGGTGGATGTCCGAAACATTGCAAGTGAACCAACCACCACCAACACGAATTCATGTCAGGAAGGTGCTGTCCACGTTAAAGCTTTCGCGACCCGCAAACGATGGGAGTTTACGTACCCCCCACTCCTTCTCCGAGGCTTGCCAAGGCGAGAGCACGTGCGCTGTTTCTGCCAGACCCCCCCATCTCAGTGAAGCCCACCGCTGACGTGTATCCCATGTACTCGGCGGGGCCTACGAGGCCGGGTTGGGTTAAAGGCGCAGAATGTTGACCCCATATTCATCAACCCCAGCTTATCAATAGGGTTTAGTGGGGAGGTATCACTTTTGAAGGGCAACACCCCCATATGAATAAACTGAGGTTGATTAACCTGGGGTCAACATTAGGCGACTACTGTACTTCTGACTCCCAAACTCATCAACCACTTCCCTTGTTCAGGTCACTTTCAAGGTGTTTGGGAATCAATTCCCTGCCTGCGAGGCTGATGGAATTTCAGGCGCTGGCCCTGGTTCCACGACGCGAGGCTGAAAGTGCGCGTCACGCGACGTCAGCAAGCCTTGCGCTGCAGTTTCTGTGAGTCTCAAGTTGGCCCTTAAGCATGGTTGTTGTTGGGAAACATTTTACATGTTTGCTGATTGTGGTTTAGTGGGAATCCAACCACTTAGCTGCTAGAATTTATTTTTGTTGCTCCCCTTCCAACGTCAACCAAGTTAAGGGCCCGGAGGCTCTTCTTGAAGTCAACCCGTTTGGAGACAACGGTTCCCCAGAACCTATGGCCGGCGTTCAGCGGCTGGCTTGGATAACGCATGATAACGCTCTTCTCGCGATGCGGGGTCGAAAATGGAGCGGCAGACCAAGTGCTGTGAAGTGCTTCAAGCTTCTTCCGTGCCTTGAACATTGCTTTGGACCCTTGCTTGGGAGTGGCAAGGTTCCTTCCACCGATTAACATAGAAGCTGATGTTCGGGGGGTCCTCGTTTGGACCATCTTCCTTGTAAAGGGACCGGGTCCCGAAGGTCAAGTTCCATGTTAACTAGGTCCCTCAGTAGTGCCCTTTTACCCTTTTTTGGCTGGCAGGGTTCCCCTACTAAAAAGACTCCAGAAAGAAGTTGGTACCCTTATTCCATCCTCTCTACTGGAGGACCTAGTTAATTGGTAGGAGGGCAGCTGAGTGTGTCGCCGCAGCTTTCAGAATGAATGGAGTAGTCGAGGGCCTTTTGGCTCAGCTGTTCACTGAAGGCGTGGCCATGACAAGTGCCGGTGTGAGCATGTCGAGACCACGGAGTTGTCCTGAAGGTGCCTTGAGAATCTTCCTAAAATGGTTGGTTTCATGGACGTTTTTTGCTTTTTGGGGGAGAGCATTTTAGTGGTAAGCAACGAGTTTAGATTTTTGGGGCCGGTCCACTCAGGAAGTGAGGTTTGGTTTTATCTTGGTTCACCTTAAAGACAATGCTCCCCGGAAGCCCCTGGATTTGGGTTTGCCGTGTTCTTTCCTGGGACGTATCTAAGCACAGACGTTTGGAACCTCCCTTGCACGTTTGTCCTTTTAGGTCAGCTTTGGTTGAACATCGATGGCATTGGTTTTGATATTGTACCACTGCCGTATATTGTTTCCAACAGGACAACATATGCTCCCTATGGTTTGTGTGTTTGTGTCTGTGTTTTAGAGGGTTCTCGGTCTGGGTTGGCTTACTTCCACTTGGTTAAGACGATTTTGTTTCCCCTGCTGGTTTTAAAGAGAAATCGGCTTGACTACTGGACTTTGTTTTGCCAGGGGACGAAAACGCGAATGGAGGCTGAAAGACACACCAGAAGGAAAGACCTGCAGGTGACTCAGCATGGGATGCGCTGCCAGCTTGTCCGCGAAGTGCGCCTGGCGACAACAAAACTCCGCGTCCACGGCGCCTCATCTGTGGGATTCCGAACCCAGAGGCGGAACATTCTGAGGCCACCCTTGTGGAGGAACGGCTTGCTGATGTTGAACAGGGGACCAGTTACAAGGTTCTTACTTGCAGGACTGAGGGTCCAGTTTTGGGGTCACTGACAGTGTGGTGTTTTTTTCATATCCATTTGAGTGCGGAGGAAAGCCACACCACTTTGGAAGTGCCCCCATTTTTATTTTTGGATGGCCCACATACCCAACCCAGAGGGTCCCTTGGTACCTAAGGAGGTACCGCAGGACCCCGTTTTACCCCGAAAAGTTTCAAACGACCCTCGTAAACTCATGGAATCTCATGGATGCCTTCTGGACAGGATCTGCCGGAAGGTCAACCCAGAAGGGCAACTGCGAAGCCATGTCATGCTTGTTGGGAATTCTTAGACCAGATCCTTTGGACACACATGTTCAATTTTCCATTGAGCACGCCAATGGTTGCATATGCCTTTCAACACAGGATAAGCTTGGAAGACATTTAGAAGACCAACCCTGTCCCACAATCAAAAGACACCTGGTGCTTGTCCACACGGCTCCAAAATATGGCTTGAATGCTACCAATTTGGGGTGGTCCTCTTTTTCGTTTTGAAGGTTGCTGAGTCTTGTTTTTTGCAGTCGCTCTCGGTTTGTGGAAGCTTGGTCAGCTGCTTTTTCTTTGCTGCCCCCCCTGTGGGGGTCCTTTTGCGTCGAATGCATTTGCAAGATGCATACGTCATGGATGAACCGGAAATCATTTGAACCTCCATTGGACTTGACTGGACCTTGCACCGTAAGAAGTTACGCAACCCTTTGAGACATTTAGCACGCGTCACCTCGAGTGCTGCCTGTAGGCCGCGTGTCAACTTCCATTGGGTTAAGAATAATTGTGTATTTTCCCCTCTTGGCTCTAAAGGGATTCGTTTTCACTCCTGGAAATATGTTTTTTCTTTTTCTGTTTTCCAGAAAACCAAAACGCCAATGGAGGTCCAAAAGCCGCGACTTGTCGCCAGCAGGTACTTGCCTGCCCCAAAGCCGGAGGCAAGCACTTCCCAGGCCCCGGGCACGCGACCGCAAGCAGAGCGGCTGTTTCCCCACGGATTTCGGGGTCGGAGGATGAGGTGCGGCCCCTTGTTTCCCCGAGAAATTTGGCAATAGTCAGAAGGTCCCCCAGCGATTGGTGCCAACTTTTACCGTTTCCTTTTTGGTTGTGAGGGTTCCACTACTGTAGACTCCAGAAAAAAGCTGGCACCCTTATTCTAACCTCTCAAATCTGGAGGAGGTCAGAAGGTGTTGTCTCAGTTTTGGGATCGTCCGTCTTGGTTCAACGAGGACTTCCACTCTGCCCCGTGCAAGCAAGAAATTCATGAGATTCATGAGTCACGTGGAGCTCTGTGGCCTTTGACATGCCCCAATGAGTGCTTCTGAGAATGGGGGGATTCCTTGCTCAGTCCATATTTCAGTGGCAGACACACAGGTCCCAAGTGCGCTGTGAGGATGTTTTGGGTTTCTGGTGGGGGTGGGTGCGGGAAATCCTTGAGGAGCGTCCTCAGAAGCGGATCTTACATGTTTGCCTTGACACGAAAGGGATTTTCGTGGGGTTGGCTCGCTTTTGCCTTTTGTGAGGACATCTTCTTGGGTTTTTGCCTGGAAAGCAAAAGGCTGCCAGGCAGCCGTGGCCATGTTGGGTTGTCTCCGAAGACCCGTATCCTAGGTTTCGGGTTCATGCCATTTGGGGGGTTTCAGGCCAGCACTGCGCCGGCAGTGGTGGCCTTAGACAGGGCAGCAGTTCACCGGCAGGCACTTTTTCGTGCACTTGTTAGGTTGTGTCTTAGATGGGAAAGGTAACATTCCCCCTTTTGGACTGTGAAAAGGAAGCCAAAAGGACTCCATCCATTTTTGGGGTTGCCCTATTTTGAGACAATGCCAAGAACTGAAGGGGCGGTTTTTCTTTGGGTCCCTAAGGCTGCGGGTTTGTACTTAAACCACGAAGCGGCAGTCAGTCCGGCCGACCAGAAGGTGGTTGGGCCGACGGCGCGTATGGAGTCTCCAGGAGACCAGCGTATCGATCTAGCACCCTTCTTGGCATCCGCAGCACAAGCCAGAGGCATTACGTTGCTGTGAATGCTGCCAGCCGTGCCACCGCTTGAGAGAAATGTGTGCTAGTTGACAACTTGAGCCGACCGGAAGTCTCAGGGTTTACAAATTGGTAGGGGAGGCTCCAGACCCGTGACTCGTGTCAACTTGGGTGCACCTGTGATTTTCGCAGAGACTGTGTTCATGGTGGCCGAACCAAACAGAGCGTACGAGGTCGTGCATTGGACAGAGCAGTTGCAGTTTCCTGAGTTCAGGATCATAGACACTTCAGCTACTCTAGGTCCCCCAGTAGTGCCCTTTTACCCAGGGTTCCCCTACTAAAATAGACTACAGAAAACGGGTACCCTTATTCCAACCTCTCTACTGGAGGACCTAGTCATGTCACGAAATTCAAGGTTGATGTCTTCTTCTTTTCGCCCATTGTCCTTTTGAGCAACCACCGCACCTTTTTCTGTTTGACCAGCAGAACGAGCTCTGGAAATAAGAGATCTCAGGACGGGTGTGGGAAGGGCAGTGCTCAGATTTTCTGAGGCCAAGATCGATGAGAAGGGCGGCGAGACACCCCATCCCCAGGCACGCTACGCTGCGGGTGTGGAACGGCACGTCGATCAAAACAAGTCGTGCAAGCTGCCACGGGCCCTGATTTGGGTATGGGTCACACTTAAGTCACGGGGGACTCGGGGACCGCAGGTCTTAGTCTTTTCCATTTGCCAGGGTCCCATTTTGGGTACCCATTTTTGACCCACAGCCATTTTATCGCCGAAAGAAGTTTGGTTTGTGGGAAGAGGTTTGGTCCAAAGGCACTGGGAGTCCACCTGCAAGCAAGCGTCCGCGATCTGGGCATCCGACCGTCTTTCAAGCGGAGTTCGAAATTTTGGTCTCACCATGTGTTAGTCATGCCAATCCTAGAGGGTCCCTTGGTACCTTCTAAGGAGGTACCGAAAAAAAACCCTTTTTACCCCCCAAAAGCCATCCTCAGGAACCAAAGGACCCTCTGGGAATAAGTCATGTGCTGAACTTGGTTCCTATTGGCGGTGTTCGGAACTTGGCGCTTATTGGCGGTAGCCGGCTGCCACAGGATATCCAGACGCAGATGACCTTTCGTAGTCATGGACAGCTGCCTGAGACAAACAACTTCTCCTTGACAGTGCCTTTGCTCCTTACGTTTTTCTTGATTCACCAAGATTCAGCGCCCATCTCACAGATTTTCAGGGAACCCTTACTTGGTGGTTTGGATTGGGAATTTGCGGATTCTATCCCCTGCCCTTTTTAGAGGGCAAATGGGAAACCCCTCCTTAACCACCAAACCACCGGGCTCCAACCAACCCTTTTTGAGGGAAGCTGCGACCTCACTCCTCCTCTCTCCAGGAGCCAAAGAAATGGACACGCATGGAGGCCCGCCAGACTCCGTCTGTCAAGCATCGTCAAACCCAAGGCAATGTCCATGGGGTTGGTGTACTTGTTTGTGGGAGAGATGCGCTTGTGTTTCTTCGTTGTTTGGCTTGTGTGTGTGTGTGTGTGTTCTCGCTTTACATTTGCTTGCTTGCTTTCTTGCATGCTTGCTTGCTTCCTTGTCTGCCTGCCTGCCTGCCTGCCTGCCTGCCTGCC